CCCACCTCCACCCCCACCCCCATGCTTGCCCCCTAAGTTTCAACTCCCAGGAACCTTCCAGGACCTGTCTTTCCAGCTCCAGGCCTTGGCCTGTGAGGTCCCACCTCTCTGCCCAGCATTCTTTCTCCTACACCAAGGGCCCGGCTAAAACATGCATTCATTTAACAAACTTTCTTGTTCATCTTTTTCTGTTTAGGTATTAGAATATAGTGGGGAATAAAACCAAAACCCAAGGTCCCTGTCGCCCTAGAGTTGACTCAGGAAGATAACCGCCAACCAGAAAGGCAATTCCAGGTGTGATGACTATTTGGAAAGCAAGATGAGGGGCTAGAGAGATGGCTCAGCAGTTAAGAGCACTTACTGCTCTTCCAGAGCTCAGGTTGGGTTCCCAGCACTCACATGGTTGCTAACAACTGTCTATAACTCCAGTTCCAGGTCTCTACAAGTACTGCATTTACATGCAGGCAAAAACTCATATACGTAAAAAAATAAAATCTTTTTTTTTTTTTTTAAGATGAGTCCAGGGCTATGAGAGTCACATAAGAGAGATTTGGGGACTTGAGAGACGGTTCAGTAATTAAGAGCACTTACTACTCTTGTAGAGAACCAGGGTTCGGTTCCCAACACCCTCATGGCAGCTCACAACTGCCTGTAACTCCAGCTCCAGGGGATCCTAGGCCTTCTTCTGGCCTGTGCAGGTGCCCATAGGCACATTCACATACACATACACATACACATACACATACACATAAATAAAATAAACCTTAAAAAAAAAACAGAACAGAGGTCTTTAGAGAGGAATGGGGAGGTGAAGATGAGAGATTCCCTAGGAAGTGACATCAAGCAGAATCTTGAAAGATAGGTAAGGGGGGATGGAGAAATGGCTCAGGGGTTAAGAACACTGGCTGCTCTTCCAGAAGACCTGGAAGAGCACTTACATACATGCAGGTAAAACACTCATATGCATAAAAATAAATAAATAAAAAAAGACAGATATGTAAGGGTTAGACAAGAATGTTCTAGGACTGGGACTATAGATGAGTTGTAGAGTGCTTGCTCAGTGTGCATGAAGATGAGTCCGATTCCCAGTGCCCTAAGATAAAACCTTAAAAAAGTATTCTAGGTAGTATGTACAAAGATCACAAGATGAAAGGTGGGCTATGGATCTAAGGATGAGGAGGTTGGGGCAGCTGGATGTGGGATAGCTAAGGCTTAAGAGGGCTAGTCCCTTAGACCCACCAGAATCCTACATAGGATTTGGTGCTCTGTAAGAATTATGGGATGAGGCTGAAGAGATGGCTCAGTAGTTAAGAGCACTGGTTGCTCTTGCAGAGGTCCCTGGTTCAATTCCCAGCACCCACATGGTAGCTAACAACCATCTGTAACTGTAGTTCCAGAGGATCTGACGCCCTCTTCTGACTTCTTCAGGCACTGCATGACACAGGTGCACTTATATGCAAGCAGGCATAATACCCATACACATATAGAACTCAATAGAGGCATGCTTTTGGAAGTCCTTCTCAAGAAACTCCAATGGACTCTCATATGAACATTTGAAAATTGCTCTGTTCTGACTTTTTTCTATTTCCCTCTCTAGAACTTGTAATGCTAATTACTCTTGCCTTTACTTCTTCTTCACATCTCCTATTCATGATTCAAGGACTTTCTTTTCCCCTTAGAGACAAGAGTTATGCAATTTGGGAGTCTTTTAGATAGATCCACTGAAGGAGTACTCCAGTTGCCTCACCCTGCTTCCCTGTTCAGCAAGGAAGAAGCCAAAAGGGTCTGTGTCCCTATTCCCTATTGGGAATTTGGGTAACCCCTTCAGAGGATGGCATGGTAAGAATAGGAGGTAGGAATTGGCTAGGCAGTTAGGGTAAAAAGACCCCAAAGAAATGTAGCCAGTTTCTTGACTAAAAGTAAAAATGTCCTTGGGCCTGTTAGCAACATACTCTGTTCCAAAGGCCAAAAATGTCAAAAGTATTTTGGAGCTTGTATCTAATCCTTAAAAGATTTTAGGGTTACCTCTTCAGAGGGGGGAATGTTGGAGGGGAGGGAGTAGGCATGGATTTGATCAAAACACCTTATATACATGTATGAAATTCTCAATAAAGTTTTTGTAAAAGTTAAATATATATAAAGACATTATGGAATGAATGACATCCTCTGAACTAGGGACACTTGAGAAGACTCGGAAGTCCCATGTCCTAGCCTGGGCTTCCCCACAGGACTCTTGCATCAAAGGCCTGCAGGGGAGGAGAGGGAAAGTTCTTAGAACTCACCAGTGCACAAGGCAGTTCCCCCCGTTGAGGCGGCAACAGTGAATGAAGTTGATGCATTCTTTAAAGTGCTTTTTGCTAGAGAAGAAAGAGTAGGTGATGGAGTGCTGGGGGGGGGTCTCTTAAGAGACCCTCCTCCTCCCCATTTATGGACAGCAAGGGACAAAGAACCCTAGGGTCCTCAGTTCAGCTAGTGTGTACAATGAATAGGGCCACAACTATGGGAGGAGTCAGAGGTGTGTGTGTCAATAGTGACATTTCAGGCAGGGAGAGAAGCTGGCCCCACCATGTGCCAGGTGTCCCTCCAGTGGGTGCTGAGGAACAAGTTTCTGCTGTGGGTGAATTCTGGCCTTTCAAGAAAATGAGTGTGTGTGAGGGTGCCACTCCTGTGGGGTCTGCAGCCACAGAATCTGAAACAATGGTCAGGAGTGAGCTGGAGAAGAGCCCCAAAGGGCAAGGGTTCAGTGTGGGTCCATCCCAAGCTGGAGGCACTGATTTAATAACCCAGCCAAAAATCCTGTTTTTCAGAGTTCCCCCAAACATGCCCAGCCCTGTCCCAGACCCTCAACTCACATCCCCCAATCTCTGTGAGCCTCCTTGATTTTGATCACATCTTGGTTTTATGTAGCCAAAGCTCAGAGAGAAGTGATTTGTTCAAGGTCACACAGCGGTAAATGGTAAACCCTGGCTAGAAACCAGGTATCTTAATTGCAAGGCAGGAACAGGTTGACTCTGACCCTCAAATCTGCTGGTTCTCTTGGTCCCAAGAGACAGGACACTTTCTCCCCACCACAGCTGAGGAAACTGAGGCTCCAGAGAGACCTGGCCAAGGGACATGTTACAAGGGCATAGTAGAAACAGACTCAAATCTGGCTCTGGGTACCCCATGACAGACTTCTGGCTTAAAGACTCTCTCTCCCTATCTGCTCAGCTGTTGGCCCATCCAGGGGAACTTACATGGGTACCTCAGGAGTATCTGCCACTGAGATGCGAAGGTAGGTGATGTCCTGCAAGGACAAAATGTATTCAGATGGTGGGTGCTTCCCGGCACCCCGCCCCGGTCTGAGCTTCCTAAGGCCAGTGTTAAATTATTTCTCTGTCCACCTCCAAAGCAGACACTGTCTAGGGGGGGCTACCAGGTCTGTTTGTACAAACAGTGTCCCCACCCTTGTGACCTGGACACAAGGACTGGATGAGCAGGACTCGGGAGCCTTTCATTTATTGGGAAGGGGTTTCTTAAAGTGGACTGCAAAATCACACAGTGAAAAGGAGTCGATCTGTTCATCTTGAAAAGTAAAACTTATGGAAAGGATAACCAGGCATAGTGGTGTACACTGGTAATCCTAGCACTCAGGAAGCTGAGGCAGGAGGATCATGAGTTAGAAGCCAGCCTGGGCTACCATAGTTAAGACCCTGTCTCAAACAGTCAAAAAACAAAGTTTATATTTCATGAATTATGATTATAAAACCATTACTAATTAGTGGAATAGTCAAGAAAGAAAAGAAGCTAAGCATTTTTTTTTCTGACATACTTGCTTTGAGGCATTGTTTCACGCTGAACCTCCACAAAAGGTTGGGAAGGTCATTTCTGCACATGTCCCAAGCACCCTGCTGTCTTTTCTCAAGGGTTGCCCTTAATACTCTGCTACTTCATATGGGCCTTTTCAGGTGCCTGGTTCACCTCTGGCTGTGGCTAAATGACACAGGGCCAGTCCTCCTGTGTGCATGGCTCTGTGGGAGGCTGGTCTCTGTAACACCTCCAAGGTCATGGAATCCTGAATCTTTTGCAAGATTTGCAGTTTCACTTTGCAATGTGTTTGGCCTTGGGCTTGCTTATATTATCAAACCCTGCCTGCTGAATTCTCCGATGGGAGGGAGAGCCGCTAACAAGGAGGGCTTTTTTTTTTTTTTTTTGTAAAGAGTCATTTCCTAATAAACACATTAATAACTTGGAAAGCCTGCTCATGCAATCTGTTTGGACTACGTACTCCAATACTCCAGAATGAGGCTGTCCTAGAATGAAAAATCAGACTATACTGGCCTGGAAATTTCTTCATTGACAATGAAAGTCATAGGTTATTGTCAGCTTCCCTTAGAGACCATCAAATTTAACACTTGAAAAAAATAACCACAAAAAACTGAGGCCCAGAGAGGGTGAAAGACCCAGCTCAAGGTCATACAGCAAATCTATGGTGGAACCTGGTTTTGATCTCAGATCTCCAGAACTTTTTCAATACTCTTTAGTGACACAGACTCGAACATATAAGAAGGGGCTCTTTTATGATGAGAGAGAGAGAGAGAGAGAGAGAGAGAGAGAGAGAGAGAATGTGTGTGTGTGTGTGTCCTGTACACCTCTGTGTGCATGCATGCGACAGTCAGGGGAAGACATTGGGTGTCCTGCTCTATCACTGTCTGCCTTATTCCCTTGGGACAGAGTCTCTCACTGAACCTAGGGCTGTTTTTTCAGCTAGGCTAACAACCAGGAAGTCCCAGAGATTCTCCTGCCTCTGCTCCTTCCATCCCCAGCTCTGGGGTTACAGGAACATGTGGCCATGCCTGGCTTTTAAATTGGGTGCTGTGGATCTGTAGCAAGTGCTCTTAGCTCATGAGCCATCTTTGTTGTTGTTGATTTGTTTTTGGTTTTTGCTATTATATCTGTTGTAATTTGTTGAGCATCTATATATAACCCAAAGCAACTCCATGTGGTCAGTACCATTGTAGCATTTCCATTTATAGATGGGGTGACTGGGGCTCAGCTTGTTCTGTGCAGAAGGTCACAAAGAGAACAAATGATCTCCTGACTCCAGACCCAGTGGTCTGAATTTCTTACTTTAGTTTTGGGGGTCCTAATACCCTCACCCTTTCCTAGAATTTCACAAGAGCAGCACCAATCATTAGTGAGATCATTCCTTCTAGTGTGCAAAGGCATCTTCACCATCTGGCAGGCCCTTTGTATCCTCACAACAGCCCTCTGGGGCAGTTGAAATCAAAGGCCCAGAGAGCTGTAGTCACAATCCAAGGTTGCACAGAACCCAGAGTTTTCTGCTTGGAATCATTCAGCCACTAGACAATGGGAAGGATTCCCAAGTAGGGGGTCAGATAGCCTGTGTCCAAGTTCCAGTTGACTACTTTCTTAGATGTGTGACCTTAGGTGACTTCATTTACTTCCCTGGGCCTCAACTGCATATAGGGATGATATCTTAAAACAGTCCAGTGGGAACACTGTATGAACCAGCTTGGGCCAAGATAGCAGCCTCGAGGACTGCGGCACAGTGGTAGAGCATTTACCTAGCATGTTTGAAACCCTGAGATCCATCCTCAGTACTGAAAAAAAAGAGGGTGACATCTCCGGGCCTCGTGCATAGTAGGTACTTAATAAATTGCTGGTATAGAACCTACCCTCCCCACCTACTATCTGTGGAATGGGAGTTCAGAGTACCTGCAGCAGAGTCTGGGGTGACTCATGGATAGAGATGATGTGTGTGATCTTATTCCGGCCCAGCTGATCCGGGTCTTTGGCATCTGAAAGAAACAGGAGGCTTGAGCCAAGCTGGCAGGTGTGACTTATTTATTCCTCATGGTCAAGTGTAGCCAAAGCTGATGCCCAGCTCTCCTCCTCATCCCTTTCACTCAAGCTTGGCCTACCCTCTGCTGGCTGCCTGTCCCTTCCCCATCTCTGGGCATGACACCCTGAGGTTTCTACAGTCTCACCCCTGGGGCACCCACCAGACACACGCCAGCTCCAACCTTGCTGGTACTGTTCTTTCCATCTCAAATGCCCATCCCTAGTGCATCCTTTGACCCAGCAATTCTACTTCTAGGAATCTGTGGACAGGGTGGTTGCACACAGAAAGCTTCATGTGGCAGCTTCTCTGCAGCACTTCAGATGCAGTTAAACATTTAGAATAACCTAAGATTCATCAAAAAGAGGGCTTAATGAAAAGTAGTATATTCATACTTTGGATTCTTGAGCAGCAATTAAAATGATCTCTATAAACTGATGGGCAAGGATGTCCTCAATATATACTTTAAGCTGCAAGACCAGTGTGCAGAATGGGTTTCCATTTGTTTGGACTATATCTGTATCTATAATATAAGATAAGTGGCCTAGGTCTATACCCTTCAGTGCTGTCAGTGGCCATCTCTGGGGGGAGGTGTGAGTGTCCAGTGTGTACCTTTTATAATTGGGATAAATAACACATAGTCCCTCTTATCTCTGCAATTTACTTACTCATTCAATAAGCATTCCCCACCTGCCCACTGGGTGCAGGCTTTAGCTGGTCACTGAAAGTCAAGGGTCAACTTCATGGGTCCTGTCATTGTGAAACCTACATACTTGGAGAGGACTTAGAGCTAACTTAGACAAATCCTCTAAGAAATCAATGTGGAAGGACCCAGGGCTTGTGGGATAGGGCACCCGAGCCTTCTCTATGACTTTTTACCTTGGGTGCCCAAGCCTTGAGCCAGACCATCTCAGCACATTTTCTACCAGAAAGTCAAAGGTCTGTGTTCAGATCTGGCTCCGTACCACCAGCCTGGAGGTCCAGGGCCTCCTCAAAGGAGGTTGTGGGGGGAAGAATTCCAAGCTTCCCACTTGAAAGCTACACTCCCAAGCAGACCTAAACCAAAACCTTGTGGAAGAACCCTTAGGACAGGTAGGCCTCATGCTGAGGAGGTGGGCAAGGTGCAGTCCCTGAGCCCCTGATGCCACCCTTTGACCTCTTGGTGGGATGTGGGGGAAAGGCCAAATGTGGGGAGATCAGTGTGGGACCTTGATGCTCCTTCTCTGCCCTTCCCAGCCTGACCTTTTACCCATGCACCCCTCCACAAACTGGTCTCCCTCCCAGTCTGGCATCCTCCCTCCCCCAGGCCCCATTCCAGAGAGCTTCTAAGTTGTGTAGGCCTGAGTGTGAATAGTGGACTCAGGCCCGGGACAGGCAGAGTGTCATGGCCTTGGGACAGAGTGGGCAGTGCTCACCAATGAAGTTTCCGAGGTAGAGTCCAGGAAGTACCTAGAGGCAGGACAGAAGGTTCAGCAGGGTGCCCGCTGCACCCCTTCCCACCTGTGGGAACCCACAGCTCCTCTCTGCTGGTGAAGCTAAGGAAGCAATCTCCCTGACAGGCCTGGGTGCTCCCACGGGGCTCTGGGTTTCTGGAAATAGTGGAAGCACAGGCAATGGAGTTAACTACAGGAGGAGCCAGGCTGGGGAGAGGTGGATGGAAAAAAGAGGGAGAGGCAGAAAGTCCAGGTAGAGAGGGAGGAGGAGCACGGAGGGGTGGGCTAGGAGGGAGGGGACTGAGGCAGGCACAGGTGGAAGGCCATGCCCAGCAGAGCTGGACGGATGGGGAGGAGAGCCAGAATCCAGGCGTCCCAGACCCACACAGACACATGGAGACAGAGAAACGCGCTCCTGGAGAGGGGAGCGAAAGACAGCAAGAGTCAGAGTCGCACAGAGGACAGATAGGCAGGGGCAGAGACAGAGAGACCGAGATGAGCCACACAGCACCCAGCAGGTCAGCTGCGGGCAGAGGACCCACCGGGCTGCGGGCGGGGACGGCCAAGCGCGCCGTGCGGTTCCCCCTACCTTGGTCATGCCATTCCCCATGATCCCAGTCCCAGGGGGCCGGACGCAACCCCAGCTCGCCACCTGGAAAGCGCTGGGCTCAGAGCTGCCGGGCTGGCCCAGGCCCAGGGCCTGCAGCCTGGCTGGGAACCCGGGGCCCGGCGTCCGCGGCCCTGGCCAGCCCTGTCCAGCCGCCGCCGCCGCCAACGCCCGCTGACCCCCCCACCCCACGCCCGCTGACCCCCTCCGGCCCCGGAGGGAAGTGGTGGAGCCGCCGCCGCCGCCGCCGCCGCAGCCGTCGCCACAGCCGCAGGCTCCTCCTACCCCCTCGGTCATATGGGCCCCCTTCCCCCCCCCGTGGGTCGTGGCGGGGGGCCAGACAAAGCCCCAGTGTGCTGGGCCCACGGCCCGCGGGACAACGGCAGCTTGTTGCGGCCGCGTGGGGCGTCACCTCCGGAGGTGGGGGCGGGGCTCCCCCCCACCCTGGCACTGTCAGGCTCTGGCAGATGGGGGGATGTGTTGAGGATCCCCCAATGGGGCGGGGTCACTCCGGCTTCAGCTCTGCCTGCACCTGTCTGTGGTCCAGGTGCAAAGCACCCAGCATCTCTGGCCTAGGTTCCCTTAGGGAAACCAGAACAGGGCTGGACTCTGATTACACTAAAGGCTCTGCTGTTCAGTTTCTGTTTGCTAAAAGAAAAATGGGTAATTACCTTCCACTATATTCCTCAGTCTATGCAGCCATCCTAGCAGCCAGCCTTCTTTCCCATTCATCCAACCATGTACTACCTCTACCCTCCTACTCATCAGTTCTAGTCACCTTCTACCCATCCATCAACCATCTGTGCAACCTCCCATCCATCATCCTCACTCCCTTCCTGTCACTTACCCATCTGTCCACCCATTCAGTCATCTCTCATCCCCTCTCCCTCTCTTCTTCCCTCTCTCCTTTCTGTCCATTCTTCCATCCCTCCCATTCACTCTGGCCCCTATGATCGTTGGACCATGGTGGGTAATTCTGCTGGTACCAGGCTTAACTGCTATTAGAGGCTGGAAGAAACCAGGGGTAAATGTGTGGAAAGAAGGTGTAGAAAGGCTCCAGTCACCTGTGTCCTGTCTCTAAAAAACTACAAGATGTCTGAGGCTCAAGGCCATGTTCACCTTTGATTTGCTGAGTGACCTGAGAAAGGCCCCTAGGGGCCCTAGCTGATCCTCTAAGTCCTAGAGTACCCAGCATGTAAAATAATTGAGTGTAGGCACCTCCTCTGGGACTGAATTGAAACAGCTGAGCTAGCTTTGTTCCTTCTAGCCATCATCCCTGTCTTTCTATCTATAGAGGTAGCTGACTGCAGGGGAGTGTCAGCACAGGCAGGACAGAGCTTGTTACGATCAGAGAAAAAGGAATCCTTTCTTCATGGTTTTGTCCCCAAGTTCACAGTATACATGTCTCAGCTTTCTCTGTTCTCATAAAAACCAAATTATTCAGCAAATATTTACTGAGCAGTTGGTACTAGGCACACAGTTGTGGGAAAAGGGAGCAGTGTTGCCTACCTTAGTCAGCAGTCTAGACCCCAGCTTCCTAGTAAAGGCGCCCTTGAACAAATTTGGTAAAAGTAAAAGGTTTCTGAACAGACAATGATCAAAATAATAATCTGAGGTGTTTCTGGCAGCACCTACCCTGTTATGTCATACGATTTCACTGCAGTGGTGGTTCTGAATATACAGCATTCACATTTTGAGTATGCAGTCAGACACACACCACCAAAGAACACTGCCTGACACCTTAGCTCAGGTTTGAGACTATCGTATGTTATGAACTGCAGCGTTTTCACTGTCCATGCTGTTTTCTATGCTTACAGAATGACAGAATGATAATACTTTAATTATGGAACACAAAGACTTTTTTGGTTGTTGTCTCACTCTGTAACACTGGCTGGCCTAGAACTCACAGAAATCTCCCTGCCTCTGCCTTCCAAGAGTGCTGTGATTAAACGCAACACCATATTGGGCCAAAAACAAAGACTTAATATTTTCCTACTACTATCCTTCAGCATGTATCAAACTAGGATATCTTTGGATTGTATTGTGTTAGAATGTTTGAATTTTAAAAAAGAACTTGCTGTTTGAGTTGCTGACTTTGGTTTCATAAAAATTGTTAAATCATTTTTGCTTTGGGATTAGGACAGAATTTCCAGCAATTTCTGACATGGCCTTAAACATACTTTGTGCTATGTGTGTATTTTTAGCATTGATGATTATAAAATCAAAATATCAACCCTGGTCAGGCATGGTGATGCACACCTTTAATCCCAGCATTCAGGAGGCAGAGACAGGCAGATCTCTGTGAGTTCAAGGCTAGTCTGGTCTACATAGTGAGTTCCAGGTCAGCTGGGGCTACAGGGAGACCCTGTCTCAAAAAAGATTGAAGAAGAAAAAAAAATCAACCCTGAAAAACATTAATCATGCTTTATGTCCAGCAGCATCAAATATTAGCCAAGGACCAGCAATCTGGCTCAGTGGGTAAAAGCACTTTTTCACCAGCCTAATGAGTTCAATCCCCCAGTCCTACATGGTAGGAGAGAACAGATTCTCACAATTTGTCCTATGACCTCCACATATGCCCTGTGGCGCGCGCACACACACACACACACACACACACACACACACACACACACGCACAGTAAATGTAGTAAAATTTTAGAGACTCGGGGCTGGAGAAATGGCTCAGCAGTTAAGAACACTGGCTGTTCTTGCAGAAAACCCAGGTTCAAATCCCAGCACCCACATGGCAGCTAACAACTGTCTGTAACTCCAGTTCTAGGGGATCTTACAGCCTCTTCTGTCTTCTGAGGGCATTGCATGATATGGGTGCACTTACCTACACACAGGCAATACATGCATACACATAAAATAAAAATAATAAAACATTTTTTAAAAATTTGGAAACTCAAACATCCAGATCAACCAAGATTTCATTCTTTATGTAAAAATTAAACAAGCACATGATCTCTTTAATATGCAAATTTGCTTTAGTAAATATAAAAATAAATAATAATTTTAAAAAAGAAAAGAAAAATAAAAACAAGCCAGGTGTGGTGATGCATGCCTTTAATCCCAGCATTCTGGAGGCAGAGGCAGGCAGATCTCTGTGAGATCAAGGCCAACCTGCTTTACATAGTGAGTTCCAGGCCAGCGGGAGCTACAGGGAGAGCCTGTCTAAAAAAGAAAAAGAAAAGCAAAAAGGATTGCAAATGGAAAAAGTTTAAGAAGCTCTAATCTAGCCCTGCTCAAAAGGTTCAAAATGCCAGCTACACATGTAATTTGAATTTTTCTAGTAGACACATGAAAACAGTAGGAGCAGACTAATTGTGGATAATATTTTTGTTTAACCCAGTATACCCAGATACTATCCTTTCAGCATTCAGTCAGTATTTAGCAATTATTGATGATCCATTTCCATTAATACCTTTCCATTGTATTAAGTCTTCAAACTGTGGTACTTGGCTTCCACTGAGAACTCATTTTAATTCACACACTCTGTACAGAAGATGCTCAGAGTTGCATGAGCCTGGTGTCTTCATATCAAACTTCTCAGGTTGAGGCAAGAAATCAAAGGAAATATTCGAATAGACAAATAATGAATTTACAAAAAGTCACTGTTGTCTCTGAAGAAAACAGAGCAGAGAGGACACGGAGAGCCTCTCTCCACGATGACATTTGAGCTGAGAGCTGGCTTATGAGGAGGACTGGCTGTGGCAAGGTGGAGAAGGTCAGCAATACAGAGGCCTGTGCTGGAGGAGCGTGGCCTGTAGGCAGAACAGTTGCAGCTGGAGCAGTGGTGCTGAGGCAGGAGTCAGTGATGGGCTGAAGAATGCAGCCGAGCCTTCGCTCACAGGACCCTCTGTGGCCACAGTTGTGCTTAAGGTTGTTTTCTCCTCCGTGGAACAGAAAGCCAAGGGAAACTTTAACCAGGAAAGCATGTCATCTGGTTTACAATTTAAAAACCTCACTATGGTCCCTCACTGACCCTCCTCTTTGGGAAGTCAGTGAGGAGACCACTGCAACTGAGCAAACAGAAGATAGCGCCCTGGCATGGAGTGGACCAAGAAGTTGCAAAGACAAGAGGAGGTACTCAGCCCTTGTGAGTATCTGAGAGTATAACTGACAGGATGGGCAGACAGATGTGGGAGGGAGGGGGGCTGAAGGGAATCCTGGGTTCCCTGACTTGAAAATCATCTGTGCTGCCGGAATGAAAGCAATGTCATCAGTTTAACACATGGTTATCAGATACCAAGTTATAGGTGGAAAATTGTACCAAAGATAGGCTGACGATCTTGACTTTCCCAGAAGGCCTGGCCCCTGGAGGCATAAAGAAATGCTGTTAAGCTTGATCTGGTGACCTGTAATCACAGCGCTTGGGAGGTAAAGGCAGGAGGATCAGGAGTTCAAGTCCAGCCTTGGCTATATTGTGAGCCAGCCTGGACCACATGAAACCTTGTCACATTACACTACACACACAGAGTTGATAAAGAACCCTTGAGACCAGGTCCCATGTCAGAGTCCTACAGTTAGCTACTCTGTGAACTCAGGCAGAGGTGTTTAGGTTGTTTCCTTGTCTATAAAGGGGCAACTCCAACAGTCCTTTGTGCCCTTACTATGTAGTTAGGGAGAATGACCAAGTCACATGTATGAGAGAACTCTGTTAGGTTAAAAGTTGTGAGTGGGGGTAAAAGATATAATTATTAGACTTAATACATTTAATAGCTATGGACTGTTCAAACTTTGAAAGTACCAGTTATTGCAAAGACCTACTTTTCTTTTTTTCTTTTAAAAAATACATTTCCTAGCTCTCTTTTCTAATTTTAATTTTATGTGTATGAGTGTTTGTCTGCATGCATGTAAGTGCACCCATGAGTACAATGTTCAAAGAGGCCAGAAGAAGGTGTGAGATCCCCTGGAACTGGAGTTATGGATGGTTGTTAGCCACCATGTGGCTAACCAAACCAAACCAAAGTAAACCAAACCAAACCAAACCAAACCAGTGTTCTCTGCAAGAAAAGTCAGTACTCTTAACCAGTGAGCTATGTCTCCAGCCCCCAATTTTTCTGAAATAAATCATGAAATGACTATTTTACAAAAGTACTGCTAGAAAGATGCTAAAATGCAGGTCTTCCCTACTATTGTCTGGCTTAAAATCCTTCCATGGCTCA